CACCTATGAGTGAGAACATGCAGTATTTGGTTTTCTGTTCTTGCGATAGTTTGCTGAGAATGATGGTTTCCAGCTTCATCCATGTCCCTACAAAGGACATGAACTCATCCTTTTTTATGGCTGCATAGTATTCCATGGTGTATATGTGCCACATTTTCTTAATCCAGCCTGTCACTGATGGACATTTGGGTTGATTCCAAGTCTTTGCTATTGTGAATAGTGCTGCAATAAACATACGTGTGCATGTGTCTTTATAGCAGCATGATTTATAATTCTTTGGGTATATACCCAGTAATGGGATGGCTGGGTCATATGGTATTTCTAGTTCTAGATCCTTGAGGAATCGCCATACTGTTTTCCACAACGGTTGAACCAGTTTACAATCCCACCAACAGTGTAAAAGTGTTCCTGTTTCTCCACATCCTCTCCAGCACCTGTTGTTTCCTGACTTTTTAATGATCGCCATTCTAACTGGTGTGAGATGGTATCTCATTGTGGTTTTGATTTGCATTTCTCTGATGGCCAGTGATGATGAGCATTTTTTCATGTGTCTGTTTTTCATGTATGCATGTCTTCTTTTGAGAAATGTCTGTTCATATCCTTTGCCCACTTTTTGATGGGGTTGTTTGTTTTTTTCTCGTAAATTTGTTTGAGTTCTTTGTAGGTTCTGGATATTAGCCCTTTGTCATATGAGTAGATTGCAAAAATTTTCTCCCATTCTGTAGGTTGCCTGTTCACTCTGATGGTAGTTTCTTTTGCTGTGCAGAAGCTCTTTAGTTTAATTAGATCCCATTTGTCAACTTTGGCTTTTGTTGATGGGCAGGTCTTTCTAAGCCTCTAGGAGTTAAAGAACAAAATTCTGAGAGGCTGCAAATCTCCCAAAATTGTGGGCAGAATTTCATATGTACATGTGCCTAGGTGTTTTTCAGGGATGAGGTTTCACAATGTTTATGGCATTCTCCAAGGACCCAGATGGTTAAGGATTGCTGCATTAGAGCCCATGTGATCTATGTTGATATCCAGTGAGTTGAGTTCCTTTAGTGTCTGTATTAGTCTGTTCTCTCATTGCTATAAAGAAATACCTGAGACTGGGTAATTTATAAAGAAAAAGAAGTTTAATTGGCTCATGGCTCCACAGAACATACAGGAAGTATGATGCTGGCATCTGCTTCACTTCTGGGGAGGCCTCAGAAAACTTACACTCATGGTGGAATGTGAAAGGGAAGCACATACATCATGTGGCCAGAGCAGGAGCAAGAGAGAGAGAAGAGGGAGGTGCCAGGCACTTTTAAACAACCAGATCTCACAGGAACTCACTCACTATCACAAGATCAGCATCACGTGGGAAATCCGCCCGCATGGTTCAATCACCTCCTGCTAGGCCCCACCTGTAACATTGGGAATTACAATTTGACGTGAGATTTGGGTGGGGACACAGATCCAAACCATATCCATGCCGTGGTGCACAGGCAGCAAAGCAAAAATGAATGCAGTGGGAAAAATGCTCCATTGGTGTTTTCTGTGGCTTCTTGTTGATGCGCCAAAGACAGTGGGCCAAGCCACTTTAGGGTCATTAAGCTAATTCTTGACCCAGAGTAGGCTCAGCTTAAAGGCAACTCATTGGATTCTCATGAATTCTATTTCAACTAGCTTGTGAGCATGTGTTCGAGGAGTGTGAGGAGTATGTGTATGGGAGGAAAATGGGGAAGAGCTGAGTGTGGCTGGAAGTGTATGATACTGGGGTGCACCCATGGTATGAGTCAGAATGGGAAAATGAAAATGGAAAAAGGATGGTCTTACCAGAAGAAAGGCGGCTGAGGTCAGAGGAGTCACCAGGGCTGGAATTGAACAGGGGAGGAGTGTCTCAGTCACACATCTGCTGCCCAGTGATGAGGCGATCTTTGTCGAGTCACTCAAACTCTGAGTCTTAGTTCTTCTTACTCAAAAAGGAGATGTTAAGAACTCCTGTCCCATCGCTCCCCTCCCCAAGTATTTTTGTAAGGATGGAATAATATATATCAACTTATTTACCAATCATATGGTATTTTGTATATGTCAAGTATTTTTCTTAGGAGCGAGGATGAGCTAATGGAAGAAACCATGCTACCTGGGAGAGCAATGAATTTCGTATTGGGACCTCATCTGGCATGCAGGAGCCTGGAGTGGTCCTTTGCTAGAGATGGGGCGGGGGCCTGAGGCTCAAGGTCAGGCTCAATCTTGAAGCTACTCTTTGTTGATGGTGGTGGGAAAAGGGGCACACTAGGAAGAGTAGAGGAGATAGAAGTTTTTTGGCAGGAAAAACGAATTGCTTTCTAAATCCCTAGACAGGAGTTGAGGATTTAGCATCCATCTCATCTCCATTTTAGGCATTCTCCTTCAACCAGCCTAAAGGCTAAAGGTACAGCTATGCACAGAATAGCCAAGAGTTCCCGAGTAATTTGCACTGGGGCGTGTGTGTAAATCGATACAATAAATGATTGAATCAGGGAGCCTGAGATTTGAGGGGGGGCGGTGGCTGTTACTTAAGACTGCCTAAGGGGGATTCAGGGTGAAAGGAGGCAGCCTGGAACTATTGTTTGTTGAGTTTGTCCAAGCCAAATCAAGACCCTTTGCTCTAATTTCCTGGCATCCAAGAGAACAAATACAGGAGTTAGCACCGGAGAGACTTCGACTTAAACGCTTAGCCCCAGAGTCAAAAACAGAGTGGGTGGCTGAGAGGGAAAGAACAGAGTTAAATATTTCCTCTGAGTAATGAAGAATGAACCCAGGCCAGGGCTATAATTCATGGGGCCTTAGATGAATCTCCAGCTGCTTCAGCTGTCTCTGCATCTGGGATAAGACCAGCCAAGAGCTCCAGCAGTTGTGGAAGCCAGTGGATGATGGCAACTCAGTCATTTAACACTCACTGGGCCTTCCGGGGGCTTCTTGAAGCCTGTGCCTTTCTATACTTTGCTGCTTTGCCCACCTCTGTGGCACAGATTCCAAGAGGAGCAGATTAAACACAGCTGGGATTTTTAGGGATCTTTAGTAAAGAATGATTAAGTCCTAAAGCTCAAAACATGATAAATTTGTACATCTGTTTTCATGCTGCTGTGTAAAACCCGATTTAGGTCCTAACATGGCAGGCCAATGATTTAGCATAGCTAATCTGGGGAATTGGGAGACTCTGCTAAGTCATTTCCCTGCCCAGTAAAATCTTGCCCAGATCATAGTGCTTGTCCCTCCACCCCGTTTTTCTCCTTAATTATTTTCACCTGTTTTGAAGAGATCCTCCAGGATGCCCAATTTCACAGGTAGGCAGAAGTGATCCTTGGTCCAGATGATGGTGGATAATCAGGATCTGGAAGAAGTGAAATCCGCTGGGCATGATGGCTCACGCCTGTAATCCCAGCACTTTGGGAGGCCAAGGTGGGTGGATCACAAGGTTAGGAGTTCGAGACCTGCCTGGCCAAGATGGTAAAACCCCGTCTCTACTAAAAATACAAAAATTAGCTGGGCATGGTGATGGGCACCTGTAATCCCAGCTACGTGAGAGGCTGAGGCAGAAGAATCGCTTGAACCTGGGAGGCGGAGGTTGCAGTGAGCCGAGATCATGCCACTGCACTCTAGCCTGGGTGACAGAGCAAGACTCCATCTCAAAAAAAAAAAAAAAAAAAAAAAAAAAGAAGTGAAATCCAAACCTCATCCTTGTAGCTGCCTCCTTCTGGCCTCAGTGAGTTACCTTTTTGGGCTGATCTTCTTCCTGGAACCTGCTGCATCCAGCTGGCTCGACCAGGAAGTTAACACCTCCTCTGGGGACTGTCATGGAGACTGGTATAATAGGAAAGGAAGCCCTGCTTTTGATGAGTTTCCAGGCAAGTGTGGCTGCAGCCCAGTCTCGGGAAAAGGGATGAACACACGATTAGCAAAGGGCAAGCAAGTTCAAATGGACTCTGCCTGTGCTGGAAATGGAATGCATATATGCCAGAGGAACTAACAACAAAAGAGCAACCAGAGCTGTGTGAGTTAAATCAAGGGGCTTCCTACTGGAGGTGAGGGTTATATAGACAGGCATGGATGAGGCTGAGAGGGCATTCTGTAGGGAGGAAAGGCTCACATAAATATGCATGCTGGAAGAACAGCTTCTGATCAGGAGCACTCAAGCTAATGAATTTAGCTAGGGCCAGGCTTTCAGATGAAGGCTTTCAGATGAAGAAGGGGGCTGTACTTGGGCTGAGATCTAGAGGCTGTGAAGAGGCCAGCCTAGTTGGTGACGGACAGAAAGGCCAAGTTGGGGGTCTTAGATCTGACAGACGGGCCAGGCCCCCAGTCGTTCTCTGGGGGAAGAGCTGCTTTTTTTTTTTTTTTTTTCCTTTTCATTTTCATACCTTGACAGGCAGTTGCTTTTTTATTTCCCGAGGATCTTAAGATCACGGAGGGCAGGAGAAGTGAGAACTCCATGGCAGTTGTGGAGTCCTACTATGGAAGTGGGACTTGGAGCCAATGTGGAAATTCCCGAGCAGAACCGGGAGAGGACATGCCCCAGAAAACTTCAGAAGATGATGACAGCAATCAGCTTGGAGGGCCTAGTAGAGACTGGTAGCGCTAGGAGTAGTAATAATAATAGCACATAAGAATATTAGCAGTACTATTAGATAATATTTAAGGCACTTTTAAAATATACCAAGCATTGCCAAACACTTTGGAAGTATAATATTAACTCATTTGGTCCAGGAGGTGGGTAGAATTCATATCCCCATTTTAATAATGAGAAAAGTGAGGCTTAGGGAGGTACAGCAATTTACCCAAGATTGCACAGCTAAGATCTGGTGGAGGCATGCACACAAGGCCCTCTGACCATGGGCTCTTAATCACTGTGCTGTGTTCCCTTCCACAGGCCTCAATCAGTCATGTAATATTTGACCGGGTTGTTATCTTAGGTATTATCTAGACCACAGATTTCGGATGCAGTCCTCTGGCTGAAGACCTCTGAGCTAGGATAACCCCTTCTCTTTTGACAGACGAGTCAGAGAATCAGATCAGTGGTAGAAGTGGAGTGCCAATCCTGAGTCTCACCTCTACTCAAGTGCTCAACATATCCCTAGATCCTCAATTCTCTGGCAAAAGTGACTGGATGGAACCACAGACTTCCAAGAGGGGACAGTCAAGCATTAAATACGAGAATGCACATATAACTCTTGATGCAATGTTTAGCACATACTAAGCCTGCAATACATGCTCATCCCTTTGAACAAATCCACATGGCCAGTTTCTGTGCTCAGGGGTGAAAACAGCCGGGCTATGATTGGGACAGGGGGAGCAATAGGTGGGGAGGGGCTTCCTCTCTCCAGGCCTGCCATCTTGACTGACATGCTGCAGCCCTTGCCAAAATCCATGGGTCAGAATGAAAGTAAAATGTCGTTGGAAACCTTGCAATCCACCATTAAAACTGCTGGGTGTAGTAAAACAATTGCTTGCCCCAAATAAATGACTTATCCTTGCTGTTGGTTGTCTGCGTTTCTCTTTAATTATAGGCCCTCTTTGAACGCTCAAACACACAGGGCCTTTGTAAACTTGAACTCCCTCTCTCACACACATTCCTCCCATACACATACACTCCCTTTCATTTACAGAGTATAAACACCCATCTCTCACTCATTCACATAATGAATTTCAGCTCCTTGCGTCCCAATCAAGGAGAGGCCTCACTAGAATTATGGGCATCTGAGCCATCTTCATGTTCCAAGGCCCCAGGGGGCGCTTCCAAGAGTGGATCCTTTATGGGCAGAAGATAATGGGCAAAAGGTGCTCTTCACTCATGGACTAGTCCCGGCCTTTTCTCTCCTTGGACAATAGAGTTGTTTACTTGAACAGCCACTTCCCTAAAAAAATTCCAAAATTCTCCCACATCATCCCCTTTATGCTTGAAATCATCACACACTCCCTTCTTTGTCCTCCCCTCTTGCAAACTCAACTCAGAGCCCTTTGGCTCCAGAAAGATTTTCTAGGTATCAGGAGAGACTAGCAAAGCCTCCCTCCTCCCCCTTGCCTTTCTTCCTTGTCAGAGAAAGAAGTCGATTCTGCGGAGAGGTAAGAAGGATCTTGAGGTCTAGAGCCTGAAAGGCTCCTGGGGCTGTTCTCCAAACTAGATGGTAACATAAGGTGTGATTGTATCTTCTCCACCTGATACTGACTCGGCCTCCTATGCCTGTCCCCGGTCCAGGGTTTGGTCAAGGGTCAAATGAGATAATTTCATGGAGGAAGCCTGGCCCAAGTTTTCTACTGTCTGCTGGAAGTACAGCCTCTTCCTCTTGTACCTGCAGCCCCAGCACCTGATCTCCACATCCGCGCCAGGCAGGTAGCTGTGTAACAAGGGCTCATCTCCCTGCCCCCAACCCCAGCTGTGATTTGCTTATTCAGGTGATGTAAATACTTCTACCAGGACCCAGGACCTATTTCGAGCCATTGTGATTTCCCCTGACTGGGGAGACGCAGGGCAGCATGCCATTTAATATTTCCCTCACATTTCCACCCCACTCTACTCTCTTTTCTGGGAATTGCTGGCTGTCTCAGAGGGTTGGTGGTTCTGGTGGCTCAAGACCATAGGTAATTATCAAATACTTAGGAAGCGATGGGTTTTGAGTATTTATTACCTTTTAAAAATGTACTTTGTGGCTAGGCATGGTGGCTCACGCCTGTAGTCCCAGCACAGGGAGGGTGAGGTGGGTAGATTGCTTGAGCTCAGGAGTTCAAGACCAGCCTGGGCAACATGGCACAAGCCAGTCTCTACCAAAAATACACACACACACACACACACACACACACACACACACACAAAATTGTCCTGGCGTGGTGTCGTGTGTCTGTGGTCGCAGTTTCTCAGGGGACTAAGGTTGGAGGTAGGAGACCCAGGTAGGAGGATCACCTGAGGTCGGCAGTTCGAGACCAGCCTGACCAACATGGAGAAACCCTGTCTTTACTAAAAATACAAAATTAGCCAGGCGTGGTGGTGCATGCCTGTAATTCCAGCACTTGGGAGGCTGAGGCAGGAGAATGGCTTGAACCTGGAAGGCGGAGGTTGCAGTGAGCCGAGATTGCGCCATTGCACTCCAGCCTGGACAACAAGAGCAAAACTCCGTTTCAAAAAAAAAGGAAAAAAAAATATATATATACACACAATTTGTTTAATTGCAAGTGTGTTTAATTTTTAATAATGTCTGTGATTAACAGCTGGCTAGCAAGATTCCTGAGTACTGAAGAGTTTTGCCCCAGCCCATCCAGCACACCATGGGCCCAGGGCAGACCTTGGGGCTAGGCGGTCCTGGGCTCCAGAGGGCTCCCATGCCGCTGTCCTACTGCTCTTCTGGCAACAGGACATTTACAGGGGGGAGATCTTGATTCTGGGTCTTTTAGGGGACTCTGTGATTAAGAAACAGCAGAGATGTTGCAACAGCAGGGATGAGGTGGGCCTGAGGAGGGGTCAGTGAAGGGCCTTCATTCCCAGCTGCTGACCTGGTCTGCCTTGAGATAAAGGCTAAGACCCAGAGACTGGACGATGTCCACAGGGGCAGAAGCGACTGAGGCGTCGGGACAGTGGGGCATAACCGAGAGCAAAACGTGAACCGAGACTTCAGCGCCGGTTTCTCGGGCCAGCCCACGCCTCCCGCCTCAGCCCAACGCCACTCCCTCCCCGCCAAGTGGCTCTCTGCTCTGGAGGCGGGACCGAGTTCTCCGGTGGCCCCTGGAGGCTCGGGCTGCGAGCTCTGGGAGGCTGGGAGCGGAGTGAGGGGAGGGGCGCTGACTGGGCAGTCCAAAGAGGAGGGGGCCTTTAATAGGCTCGCCCAGCGCCCGGCTTGCTGCGCTGCGAGTGGCTGCGGTTGCGAGAAGCCGCCCGGCACCTTCCGCTAGTTCTCGGCTGCAAATCTTCGTCCTCGCACTTGACAGCGATTGTACTTAAGCTCCCAGGGCGCGCTTTGCTTGGAAAGGCACAGGTAGGAAGCGCCGGCTGCCGGGTGCACGCTCGCTGCTCTGGGAGGAGTCTCCCTCCCTTGGCTCTCCTTTCTGGGAGCTGCCGGCTGTCCCGGAGCGTTGGCGGTACCAGAGTGCGGGCTGCACGGAGACCGCGTCCGCGGCCGGAGAGCCCGGCCCAGCGCCTTCCCAGAGCGCGGCGGTGCCTGCCGGGCGCCATGCTTCTGCTGGGCATCTTAACCCTGGCTTTCGCCGGGCGAACCGCTGGAGGCTCTGAGCCAGAGCGGGAGGTGGTCGTTCCCATCCGACTGGACCCGGACATCAACGGCCGCCGCTACTACTGGCGGGGTCCCGAGGACTCCGGGGATCAGGGACTCATTTTTCAGATCACAGCATTTCAGGAAGACTTTTACCTACACCTGACGCCGGATGCTCAGTTCTTGGCGCCCGCCTTCGCCACTGAGCATCTGGGCGTCCCCCTCCAGGGGTTCACCGGCAGCTCTTCAGACCTGCGACGCTGCTTCTACTCTGGGGACGTGAACGCCGAGCCGGACTCGTTCGCGGCTGTGAGCTTGTGCGGGGGGCTCCGCGGAGCCTTTGGCTATCGAGGCGCCGAGTACGTCATTAGCCCGTTGCCCAACGCCAGCGCGCCGGCCGCGCAGCGCAACAGCCAGGGCGCACACCTTCTCCAGCGCCGGGGTGTGCCGGGCGGGCCTTCCGGAGACCCCACCTCTCGCTGCGGGGTGGCCTCGGGCTGGAACCCCGCCATCCTGCGGGCCCTGGACCCTTACAGGCCGCGGCGGGCGGGCTTGGGGGAGAGTCGCAGCCGGCGCAGGTCTGGGCGCGCCAAGCGTTTCGTGTCTATCCCGCGGTACGTGGAGACGCTGGTGGTCGCGGACGAGTCAATGGTCAAGTTCCACGGCGCGGACCTGGAGCATTATCTGCTGACGTTGCTGGCAACGGCGGCGCGACTCTACCGCCATCCCAGCATCCTCAACCCCATCAACATCGTTGTGGTCAAGGTGCTGCTTCTTAGAGATCGTGACTCCGGGCCCAAGGTCACCGGCAACGCGGCCCTGACCCTGCGCAACTTCTGTGCCTGGCAGAAGAAGCTGAACAAAGTGAGTGACAAGCACCCCGAGTACTGGGACACCGCCATCCTCTTCACCAGGCAGGTGAGTTGATCTGCTGTCTTTTTGCACCCATAGAGTCCCGTTCTTTAGGGTCACCTCCCCTAGCGCTCCAAATCCCCTTTGTATCGTGCAATGCCTCCGAGTTTAAACTTCGTTAACTTCTTCCGACTCCAACTGTAGTTTTCCGGAGAGCCCCTCTCCTAGGCTCGGAGGAGCGGCGGCTCACGTGCATCTGGGCCATTGGAGGAGAGCCTGCGCTTTCCGAAGGTGTTGGCCTGGCGCGGCCAATCAGCGCCTCCTGGATCGGGCGCCGAGGGGCCGGAACCCAGGAAGTTGCCGCCCCGGAGCCGCAGTTTGTGTCCAAGACCGATAGGAGACGCTATGAGGATGGTGTTGGATTGGGCGGGAACGGCCCGCCCCTATTGTATGGGCGGCTGAGACTTCTCGGACACCTCCTGAGGTCTCCTTTCGAGGGTTGTAGAACTGAAGGTGATCCAAGGTCAGCGCCTGCTACATTTCTCTCGGGTAACATGTTGTCCCCTCTCTGTACTGGGCCTGGAAAGCCTGGATTTGGGTGGAGGGAACCATTGAGAGATTTTGTGAGTTTGCAGTGACAGGCCAGACTCAAGTACTGCGAGCATCCCTCCTTCACCGCCGCTTCTTCTACAGCCTCTGCTGGGCATGGTCCAAGGGGCTTCTAGACCATTCTGAGCAGGCAGTGTAGTTAGGGCACCTGTTTGGAGCTGAGACTGTTTCACTTGGAGTTTCAAGTGGAGTTTCACTTGGAGCTGAGTTGGGAAAATCTTTTCCAATTTTCCTGTATCCTTGCTGTCAGAGGGTGACCCGTTTGCCCAGATGTATACTACAGAGCAGAGCTGGCACGCTTGCTCCTGCTCCCAAGTCACTATAATTCCTATGACTACACTTGACTTCAGGGCTCTAGCTTCTGCCCTTGCTGGGGTTGAAGTGGTGTGAGCTTAGTCAAGAGTATTTGGAGATTCCAGCCGTAGAGTTAGAAGGAAACTGAGTATTGGGATTAGAAAGATGGACCCAGCCCAGGAAGCAGCCCTGCCTTTTGCAAGGCCTTACCTGATATTCTATGTCAAAGAAGCTATGAATCTGTGAACATTTAGATTCACAGGTGTTGGAGTGATTGGGCACTGTGGAGTATTTGGATTCTTGAAATTTCTCAGATACAGGAGGCTGGGAGGAAAAGAGCCATCCAAGTGAGCTCCTGCTTCCGATTTGGGGGACGGTGACTTGAATCTGTGCCATGCTCTATTTTTGTTATTATCATAACCACAGCATTCTGGGGAGGGCATGGAATCCTTGGTTACCTCTGGGGCTCTAACTCTCCACTGTTTCCAAATGGTCACTCAAAGTTGGACTGGAGCACACCAGGCTGGAGCTGGAGTCTTCCACAGTAACCCATTTGGCACAGCTAGTCCCTTCCTAGAGTCGAACTTCCTCCTTTCCAGCCTTCTTCTCCTCCCACCACCTGGTTTCTCTAGGGAGGTCTTTGGCCTGAGTCTGTTTCCTTGTGCTCATTCTTCCAACTGAGGTCTGTTGAGCTGCCACTGCCCAGCCTCTGCAAGCACTGCCTGAGTCATGGGGAAGCTGTAAAGGAGGTGGCTTTGACCTCTGCACACAGACCAGCTTGGCAGTTAGATTGCTGGGGCTTGAAAAAAAGCAAAGGCCAAGAACAGGATATCTTAATGGGCAAAGCAGCTGTTGCCCCATTTACTACCTGGGCTGCCCCATTGAAGGTCACTCACTGGCTCCAAAATAAAAGCCCTCAGCCTCTGCAGCCTGGTGGTGAAGGCTGGCTTCTGGAGTCAGCCCTAGGAAGAGAACTCCTGCTGGGCATAGGACCCTGCCGTCAGAAGGAGGCCGCCTTTTGAAGAAGAAGCAATCAAACAGCATGACAGCTTCCATTTCTCAGTAGTGTGTGTTCAACCCCCCGGGGGCTGTGTTGTCCATGCATAATGGGTACAAGATGCATGACCACTGGCTCAGAAGCAGTGACGTGCAGGATGTGACTTTTAGAAGCTGCCTTCCCCTTAGGTGCCTAGAGAGCAAAGCCAGGGAGTCGGGCTTCTGTGTTGTCAGGGCTGCCATCAAGGTATGTACATTTATGCTTCAGAGTAAGCACCTCTCCCCCACCTCCTCACCAGCTCGGACTTCAGGGCCTTCTGCATTCTGAGAGTCTCAGGATCTTCTCACTGCTGATCTCTCCGGGGGAAGGTACAGTCTTCAGTGAGAACAGGAGCGAGTAGCTGCCCTTTCTAAGATTAAGGCAGACGCGGTCTCCAGGAACCTTCATCGCCCGGAAACGAGAATATAGTGGTTGTACAACAAGTATTTTGACAATTTGAGGAGTTTACTTAAAGATTCAGAGTCAGTTCATGGAGAAAAGTGCACATTTGATTTTGCAAAGTGATCGGTCTCCAGGCTCATAACAGCAGGGTGAGGTCAGCACAGGACTGGAACCAGGATCTGCGAAGAACCAGAGCCAGAGTGTTGCTCATTTATTTCTGTGAGGAGAGAAGTTTCTTTGGCTTCCTGTTGCACTGGGCGGCAGGAGCCAGGTATTTAATGCTGAGACTTTGTAGGCCCTTATTCCCTGAGACTTCTCTGCCTTTAGGTCCAATAACGCTGCTGTTTGGGTAACCCTTTGTGGTAGAATGGCTTTCATTCATTTATTCATACACTCTTTTAATACTTGTTGAGCATTATTTATTATTATTTCTAGGTATTACCCTGGGCTGTGGAGCTACAAATACTAATAAAATGTGGTCTTGGCCGGGCGCGGTGGCTCACCTCTTGGGAGGCCAAGACGGGCGGATCATGAGGTCAAGAGATCAAGACCATCCTGGCAAACATGGTGAAACCCCACCTCTACTAAATATACAAAAATTAGCCGGGCGTGGTGGCGGGCGCCTATAGTCCCAGCTACTCAGGAGGCTGAGGCAGGAGAATCACTTGAACCCGGGAGGCAGAGGTTGCAGTGAGCCGAGATTGTGCCACTGCACTCCAGCCTGGCGACAGAGTGACGCTCTGTGCCAAAAAAAAAAAAAAAAAAAGTGGTCTCAGGTCCCCAGGAATTCACAATGTGATGAGGAGCTTACAAGACAAGAGCTAATTTCAACAGGATGTGCTAAGTGCCAGACCAGCCCCGCTGGGGAGGAGGGGCGTTCTCCTGAATGCTGGAGCTAAGGAAGCGCTCCAAGGGATGGGAGCAGAAAGGGTATACTGGCTGCGGAGAGGGGGCTGGGGAGGGGAGCTTGTTTTCTGTGTCATCAGATGCCCTCTCCTCCATTCCACTGCCTGCTTTGCTATCTGTGACCTTTTCTCTTCTGGACTGATTTTTTTTTTTTTTTTTAAGGACTTGTAGTTTATGGTTTTACTGTCTGTTTCTTGATTTCTTTCTTTTTTTTTTTTTTTTTTTTTTTTTTTTTGAGACGGAGTCTCACGCTGTCGCCCAGACTGGAGTGCAGTGGCGCGATCTCGGCTCACTGCAAGCTCCGCCTCCTGGGTTCACGCCATTCTCCTGCCTCAGCCTCCTGAGTAGCTGGGACTACAGGCGCCCGCCACCGCGCCCGGCTAATTTTTTTTTGTATTTTAGTAGAGACGGGGTTCCTGTGGTCTCGATCTCCTGACCTTGTGATCCGCCCGCCTCGGCCTCCCAAAGTGCTGGGATTACAGGCTTGAGCCACCGCGCCCGGCCATTTCTTTCTTTTTTTTTTAAGGACTTGTATTTTATGGTTATTCTGTCTGCTTCTTCATTTATTTCTCTTTTTTTTAGGACTTGTATTTTATGGTTATTCTGTCTGCTTCTTCATTTATTTCTTTATTTTTTAGAGACAGGGTCTCATGTCACCCAGGCTGGGGTGCAGTGGTGCCGTCAACTCACTACAGCCTTTAACTCCTGGGCTCAAGCAATCCTCCCACCTCAGCTTCCCGAGTAGCTGGACTACAGGCCTGCACTGCCGTGACCAGCTAATTTATTTTTGTAGAGACAGGGTCTCACTATGTTAACCAGGCTGATCCTGAACTCCTGGCCTCAAGAGATCCTCTTGCCTCAGCCTCCCAATGTTTTAGGATTACAGGTGTGAGCCATCATGTCTGGGCTCTGTAATATTCTTTGTGAGAAGACTTTTAACTACAAATTTCATTTTTAAAACATATATATTCAAGTTGTTTTTCTTGAGTGAACTTTGGTCATTTATATTTTTCAAGAAATTTTTCCATATCATTTGAGTTGTGAATTCATTGACAAAGAGTTGCTTATAATATTGTCTACTATGTTTCCCACCTCAGTCTCTCAGTCTCACCCAGCCTGTAGCTGGGACTACAGGCATGTGCCACTATGCCTGACTAAATTAAAAAAACGTCTTTTTTGGAGACGAGGTCTTGCTATGTTGCCCGGGCTGGTCTCAAACTCCTGGGCTCAAGCAATTTGCTCGCCTTGGCCTCCCAAAGTGCTGAGATTACAGGCCTGAGCCACTGCGCCTGGTCTATTTTGTTTGTTTTTTTCCTGTTGCTTCTTCGTATCATTTGACGCCACCTCTGTTCCCTCTCCTCTGGCTCTTCTTCCATGCTCTCACCTTCCTCTTTTGGGACTATCCAGGCAGGATCTTTACAGTCTTCCTCTTCCCCCTTATTCTCTTCATTTGTACTCTGACTTTTCCCCGCTCACAACCCCGAGCTTGGTGCTATCTTCTTGTTTTGACCTTGAGCAGTACTGTGTTTCACTGGGGATACCCTACACTGCGCAGAGCGGAACAGCATTCTAGAACCTCATGTGAAACAGACGCCAGTTCTTTTGGTGATAAAGCACTTGTCATAGGGCAGTGATATTTACTGTTCAGATAAAAATAGTTAATAATGAAGTGATAATACGTATGTTACACATATCTCCCTATACAATAGAAAAGGATCATGATTTCATTAGGATCTTTCTTGAAGTTGGACTTTGGAAGATATTAGGAGACAGAGGTCATTGGTAGATTTAGTATTTAATAATTTGTTATTCTTGGCCA